TATGAGTTAAGAACAATAATATTATTTTCATTTAAAATGCGGCGGGAGAATATTTATGAAAAGGAAAAAAATGGAGTGGAACATAGATTTTTTATTTGGGAAACAAGGTTCGAACACAGATTCTTGTACACACAAAACAACTCAACTACTTAGGCAAGATAACACAAGTGCCAGATGTGATGACATGATATGCACATTTTTCATCATTAAATGTATATACTTAGGGCATGTTTGGCAATCGTTTTTGCTTCGTGATTTTGCTTTGACTCAAAGCATAAGAAGTGTTTCTGTTTTAGAGTGTGTTCAATACTATTTCAAAACTTGTTTGGTAATATAAATTTGTTACAAGATAACATGTTTAGTAAAAAGTATTGCAAGTTTGAAAAATTGAATGGCTAGATAAAAATATCATTTTAGATTTTTTTTTTTTTATTCGTATGGAAGTAAACAAAAGTATCATTTTTATGCTTTTAATTTTGACCTCTTTTTTTAAAGTGCTTCGATACTATTTAAATAATAACAAACGTTATCAAATATGCTTTGTGCATTTATTTAGCTACAATACACTAACAAAATATGTTTGTTGTACCCACAAAAAGAAAAAAAAAATTAAAAATTAAAAAAAAAAAAAAAAAAAAAGGTTGAAAATAATCCAAATTTTGAGTTTGGCATATAACAAACCCCCAATAATAGTGGTGAGTCATGCCAGGACGAAAGGGAATCGGTCCCTATTCCTATTTGGAACATTTTCTACGCAACAATGACTACTGGGTCCCTCATTTTGATGCCTATATTAATTTCATTTGTTCAATTCTGAAGTATAATTAGATATTTTGCTTGCATATAAAAACTCAATAAAAACAAATAATAATTAAATCCCACGTTGAAAAGAATGGGGGAGGTAGTTTCACAAGACATCCGCCACTCCCACAAAAAAAGCACAACACACTCCCTAAGGCATCCTGTGGGGGAGGTAGTTCCACTGCATACTTCCTTTTTCCGGCGAAAGCAAATGGATGAGGATTCATGATATTTATACTATTGTCCTTGGTGGTTATGTTTATAATAATTTTAGGGCAAATTGTTAGAAAAAAAAACCTTTTATTTTTAATTTTTGACAAAAAAAACTTCTGTGAAAAAAATATTGACATAAACCTCCCTAAGTTTCTAATATACTGCAAAGTAATATTATAATGATGCAAATGCCCTTTAATATAATTTTTTTTTCTTTTAATTTTTTTTAAAAAAAATAGACCTTTAAGAAAATTTTATAAAATTCACCATTAAAGTAGAGTTATAATACAAAAATGCACCTTAATGTAAATTTTAAAAAAATTAGGTCATCTTAAAATGATTTTCATTTTAGGTTTTCCTTTTCATTAAAAATATTTCGAAAAAATTGTCACACCGCTATGCCGAATGAGTTATTTATACTAATTTTAATTTTATATTAAGAGAAATCATTTTCTAAAATTTATATTAAGGGGCACTTTTGTTATAATAACATCACTCTGTAACAAATTGGATAGTTATGGGAATTTTATGTCAACATTTTTCTACATAGAATTTCTTGCCATAAATTGAAAATAGAGAGGGTTTTATGCATTTTGCCCATAATTTTATATAAAATTATATTTTTATTTTCATTTATTTTTATTTTTCTTATTGTACCATCCAGGACGAAGTCAAGATTTCATGCAGGGGCACCCCTCTCCCCACTGATTCATTGGATCCCTCCGTTCACAATACCATGCAGTCTTTTCAATGTTCATGCACCAGATCACTGCTGAAAAGTGACGTTTGAATTTCCAATCACGTGAAATTGTATTAAGTTTTCCAATTTTTTTTTGAATAAAATTATTAATTTTAATAATTGCGTCACTAATATAAGGTAACTAGGTAAGCCGTTGACAACAATTTCTAACAAGTGGAGTTGATTGTTGTGATGGATAAAATAATTGAAAAAAAAAAAAGTTAACCCGCCAAAAATATAATTGCACCATAACTGAACTCTATGCCCTCCTTTGTGCTCCATGCACTCCAATAAGGTCTATGTCATAATTATGGAAAATAAATACAGTGTCTATGCTCCAATGAACTCAACTTTTTACCATGATATAGTCAAATGTTAAAATTCTATTTTCCAGTCTCTGTTTTGTTTTTTTTTTTTCTTTCTTCCCTAAACAAACGGAACATCATTGATTAATGATTCGTTATTCAGGAGGTGGTGGATATCAAGTCAAAACAATGCACTCCAAGCACGCACACACTAAATTATGTGCCACTTTATCAAAATGCCAATCATTATTCCCAATAATAATAATAATAATAATAATAATAATAATAATAAGGGTGAAGTGCAAAAAACACCCCTTAAATATGCATATAGTGTATATCACACTCTTTCAGTGCAAAAAACACCCCTCAAGTTTTAATTTGGTGCAATCAAGTCCCTCTTGCCAATTTAAAATCAAACTTGACTAAAATACCCGTAGTCAATAATTTTATAAAATATATAAAAGTACAAAATGTTGTAAAAAGACCAAAAACCACAACACTCCCGGCCTCAGTTCTCAAACACTCTTTCTTATCTCTCTAAAAATTCATCACAAAACCAAGAGTAACATTGCCGGCACCGGCAAGCAGAGCGAAGACGGGCTCCGCCGTCGTTGCACAACCATCAGTCCAGCCAAGCTTCATCACAGCCGAAGCCATCGTCGAACAAAACCCATGTCACCGGCCGTCCATCTCTGCCGGTCCACCGATCCGAAGCTCACTGCCGCACCACCGATCCGAAGCTCACTGCTGCACTCCGTCCCAAGTCACCGTTTCAGCCATCTAGTCCGCTTCTGTCGCTGCCGAAGAGGTTGTGATTTTTGCCGGTGTTGTGAATCTGGCCGTGAAGAAGAAGCTCGGTGGATGGAGAAGCCGCACTCCGTCCCAAGTCACCGTTTCAGCCATCTAGTCCGCTTCTGTCGCTGCCGAAGAGGTTGTGATTTTTGCCGGCGTTGTGAATCTGGCCGTGAAGAAGAAGCTCGGTGGATGGAGAAGAACCAACGGCGACTATGGATCCCGGGATAGGCAGGCGGCCAACGAGATCTCATGGCGATTATGAGCAAGAGGCGTTGGAATCGGCCGCAGATCGACGGATCTAATTCGTCTAAGAGAACCGTCGGGGTAGTTCCTCCGATGCCGCAGATCGTCGTCGTCGTCATTGACCACCGACCTGCCTACCTCTCTAAACATATCCTTGCCCGAATCCGATTCGTGTGAGGTCTCGAATCAAGTATTTGGATCCCATCAAGTCACACAGCCTACCTAGTTGGCTCCACCACCACCATCATCGCCTGTGATTGTACACCAGTTAGCTCCACCACCGATAGCTCCACCACCGATGGTGGCTTACAGTGGTCAAAACTTCGAATTTAGAGCTCCGACGGCTGAGAAACAGTTCTATAGTCAAGAATTATTGTCTGTGATGCAAGAGATGGTTCGAAAAGAAGTGAGGAACTACATCAGATTGAACAAAAATGGGCTTCGTTTGCTTGCAGAAGCAATCATGTCTGTAAATTATTAGTATATTTTAGCTTTTAATTTCATGTTCTAGCTTTTAATTGGATGTATGTTGATTCGGTGATGATGATGAAGAAGAAGAGTGAAAGCAAAATTGGGTGCAAAAGAAGACGGTGGTGGGACTGGCGGCGAAGAGTAGAGAGAGAATGAGGGGTATTTTGGGAAGATTAAAAGGGCAAAATGGGTATTACAGCAATAATTTGGGGGTGTTTATTACACAGAGGGGTAATTTTGCACAATTTCAAAAGATTAGGGGTATTTATTACATACTTTCTCAAATAAGGGGTAAAAGTGCTACAAAAAGTATACTTCATGGGTGTTTTCTGCACTTCCCCCTAATAATAATAATAAAATTTTAAAAAAACCAAGCCTAAAAGTTGGAATAGATTTGAAATGGAAGGTGATAAATGTACTCTACAATTTAGTAAATCCACCCCGCTTTTGATGTAAAATAACATTATTTTGTGTAATTCAATTTATGACAATTAAGTATTACTGTATTAGGGATCATTTATATTATTTGAGTCAAGGAAAAAAAATACATACATATATATACATATATATTTATAAATAAAATTGGATTGCATTTATCATTTCTTTTTTAAAATAATCAAAAGCCATTTCGCAAGTTCAATTATGTCCTTAGTTGTTCCAATTCAAGATTTCACTGTTACAACTAATACCGGACCAAAATCCTCCCTCTCTAGTCTGTCATTGAGCACTCACTAATTTTTGTCGGTGCATCCAATCTACAACATATATGTCGGTTTGTTCACAATCTTGACGGATTTTTTTTTTTTTTTAATCGGTAAAAAATACACACCTCATCTCATACACTAATTTTGATCCTTTTGGAATTTTAACCTCCAGAATTCACTTTCATCTTTTAGGGATTCAAACTCTTCCTCACCGCCTTCTCTAATCTTTAAGAATTCAAATTCTCACCATCCATCAGTAAGTCACAAATCCCTCGGTTTTAACCGAACATCCCCATCTATTCCCTCGGTTTTAACCGAACATCCCCATCTATCAAAACCGATCATCCCAACCTATCAAAATTATATCATTACTATTATACCCTGCAAAGCAAATCAAAGCACAACATGCCACATCACTTACAACTTTATTTTATATCAAAATCCACCCTCATAATGATAAAATTCACTAACGATGCACCTTAGTCTGTAGAACATGGGGAAAATGAGCCCGAATCTTTTGCTGTAAAATTAGTATTTTTACTTTCTCACTTTTATATATACTTTCAACACATTTACGAAATGTGAAAAGTGTACACCACCACTGCAGCACGGGATCGTAACAGAGAATCCGAACTCAATCTATCCCAAATAGCGCATGTATGCGAATTGTCTAACCGAAAAGTTTTGATTCGACCTTTACTTCCTCGTATCAACAGTAACAAATAAAAAGACAAAACCGAATTGAATCCCTCTTCCATTTACTTGTATTCTCAAAGGCATCAATCATAGGACAATTAGAATACAAATCGCCTGAGATTACAAAAAAATTGAAGATCAGCATATGAAAAATGCCAAAAAGATAACCCAAAAAAAAAAACCTAAAAAAATACTAAAAGTGAATTGAGGAATTTACCAGCCAGTCCACAATTAAGTGGATTGACCATACAAGTCATAGGGTGCCCAAAGAGCATCCAATGGACACGGCTGGTTCGAGTCGAGCCTGAGCCACGGCTTCCCACTCCCACTCCAATGCAACAGGCTCACCGGACCAGGATGAAGATCCCTACAGCTCCCACGCACGTTATCACCTCCCAACCCGTGCTGGTTCCACCGGTGCTCGATCGCCGCCACGTTTCCCGCGAACACCAGCAGGAAAGGCGGCAGCGACCCGAGCTCGTAGATCCGGCGCCTCTTCTGGATCTCCATCCACCGCTCGATCCGCCTCGTGTACCCGAACCGCCTCCACTTCACCAGATCTATCACCATCACCCCCGTGTTGAAGTAGCACGCCGTCCGCCCGACGAACGCGCCGGAAAATCGCTCGTCCGACCAGAACCCAGCCGTGAAGTACTTCGTGAAGTTGGCGTGGCAGTATTCCGGCGCTCCGATCGTCTTGTTCCCCAACCTCGTCGTCCACAGCTTCAGGATGTCGTCGACGACGACCAGATCGGAGTCCAAGTATATCACTCTCCGAACACATGGCTCGAGAAGATCGGCCAAGTAGTTCCTCGCGTAATTGAGAGGCTGCTCGAGCGCTTGCCTCACAGAAGTCGAAATCAAGCTGCGTACGATCTTCGGATCGAAGTAATAGACCTTGAACTTCAACTGAGGGAAGGTGGATCGGACTAGGGTTTCGAGATTGGTGTCGGAGACGAGGAAGTGGAAGAAGATGCTCTCCGGGCACATTGAATTCTGCAGAATCGAATGGACGGCGGCGATTGAGCCGCGGAGGTACTCGACGTCGAGAGTGATGGCGACATGAACTAGAGCTGGATCGCAGACGACGCTTGTTTTCCCCAATTTGGAGCCGCATTGCTCGGCATTACGGAATGTGGATGATTTTCGAAACGCGATGTGATTGCGCGAGTTTTGCAGAGACGATCTGATGGCCTCGGCGGGCGGGAACGATTGCAGAGAAGGAGAGAGGATGATCATCACCATTGCTGCGGAGAAGAACCCTGAGAATCGCATAATCCAGAGCATTTTCGCGCGGTGAAACCCTTTCCTCTTTTTCTTCGTCGATTTGAAATCCAAGTGTAGTTCCTCTAATCGAGATGAAATTGAAGAGATGAGGAACGCTAGGTTTTCTTTAAGGTTCGCCAGAGTTATAGAGAGAGAAAGTAAATTCCCAGAATCAACGTTCTTTCTTTTCTTCTCTCCTGTTCCTCTTCCTCTCTCTATCTAATGGGATGCCGTAGGAAGAAAGCGAAGTTCGATAAGAGAGAAAGTAAAGAAAGAAGAATCCATCAACGAACCAGAGCGAACAAGAGGGGTCAAGCGCCACCGTGCGCGGATGTGCTCTGTAGTCCACTCCCTTTCTCTCTCTAACTCTCTTTCTCTTTCTCTCTCTCTAACTCTCTTTCTCTCTTTTACTGTCCTTTGAAGAAGGCCAAGTAATACAGAGACGAAGTAGTAGAGGTTTTAAAGAGAGAAACATAGATACAGGAAGAGATGATGTTCTTTCAGCTTTTCGTTGTCCACCATATAAATCCACGGCCAAACAAGACACATATATATAGGTATTATATATACTGCTAAATATATATATACACGCACACACATAGGACTATTGATAAATTGTTAATTTGAAAATAAAATAAAATAAAATAAAATAAATTACAACTCTTTGGTTTATTACTTTGAAAAATGAACTTAATTAAGTAATGAAAGGTAATAATATATCACATTACATTTTACACAAAAGAAGGGTAAAGTTGTTATTTTATAAAATTTTGTCAAAGAGTGAAAACGTCAAAAATATCACCTCAATTTCAAGAGGTCAAATTAATAATAGTGTATAATTTACTCAATAAAGTAATTTTTTCAAAAATAAAATAAACTAAAGTATAGGAGTATTAATGAATTGTTAAAATTAAAATATAGGGTTTATTAGAAAGAAATAAATTGGGGGCTTTGTAAATGAGGAAAGAGAACCAGCTGTCCTTGTCTTCTCTAGTAATGACAACTACGTCCTAGTGCCAGCTTGTCCATACAAGAGAGACACATTCTCACTCATTGCTAAGTAATTAAGCAATGCTAATCCAGCCTGTGGACTAAACAATGCTCTATTTACCAATTAAAAAAGATACCATTTCATCAATTACCATGTTTTTGCATTGTTGATTAAGTAATTGACTTTCTTTAATGCGAGAGTCAATTGCGTACAATTGTGATACCAATTTGAGTTAATAAAATTCAATTTTAAGTCACTTCATACCCTATTGGCCGGTTTTGTATGATATCATCTTATTAAACATCTATTTTAGTTACCATATTTTTAGATAATATTGGACCATTGACTATTTGATTCTTTAATTCAGTTAAAATTCATGTTTAAGTTTTTTTTTTTAATAATATTTTTAATAAATTTTATTCCATCACTTTTTTAAGTTTGGAGAATTTTGATTGAATTGGACCATATGACTATCTAGTAATTTGTTTTAAAATTAAAAAATGATTTGGGTTTTTACTTTGAAAAGACGTAATTGAATTTTGTTCAATGTTAAAGTTAAACTCTATCCTTATTACATTAAGCAAAAGTATCGTTACATCACAATTTCACCTTCATCACATACAACGAAAGCATCGCATTATATCAACATAAACATATATGAAAATAATAATCATACACATTCACACCTAACACAATATTTTTCATGATTTACCTAACTCTAAGGTTACGTTCTTGGAGAGAGAGATATTCCACTATTATAAATCAAGGAAGATAATATACAATCAGATGTCAAAACATTACTCACTCACTCATCATCTCTTTTAAGGCTATATTTATACACTCAGAAATTACATATACTCTTCTTCTCCTCACAACACTTGCCTCTTACTTATTTCCTCTCGTCTCTCTATCTCTCTCTTTTCTCCCCACAACCTGAATAGAGTATTCAAACCCAATTTTGTTGGACAAGTATTCCTCAACTTACTTATAAAGAGTTATTATATCAGTTTTTAACTTTAAGTTGAACTAGTTCAATCAATAATCACTTCTGCCATAACATTACTTAAACATCGAATTCGAACCATAAAACCTAACAGATAGTTCTAACATTTATTTTTTCTTACTTATAGTTCTAACAAATTTTAGTGGAAACAAAAAAAAATACCAATCATATGCACCGGTCACCATAATTGGTATAGAGAATTTTCTTGCTCGCCAATGAACAAGAAATCATTACTTAACTTCTAATTATGTTATGATAGGTAATTCACAAGTACATCAACAAATAAAAGAGAAAAATGACACTCCAAAAATAAAAATGTATCAACTAATCTATGCCAAAGAAAATGCGAAATTGGCAAAGTTTAAGTCACACAAATGAGAACGAGAGATACGACTCAAAATATAAAAACATCAATCGTTTAAAAGAATTGTATGACTTAATAATTTGATAGGGAAAAATATAAACCTACTCCACCCTCGATAAGATTGATTAGATTTCATTATCAAGAATAATGAAATCAAATCTGACGTGGTTCAACAAGTAAGAATAATCATACTATAACTGGAGGAGGTTAAAGGGATTAAATCATATCCCGACAAATCCAATCGACAGTCATAAATAGGGCATCAAGCCATTAAAAAAGGGATGACGTAAAAACTATTATTAATCCCTGCCTTCTTTTTAGACTTCCGTGATCTTTTTAGACCTCCGTGACTAATTTGATCGTCGGAGAGCTCTTGACAGGCACTACACCGGTGCCGTCAAGGTTCATCGATCTTCTCCTCTCTTTCTTGCAGAAAAACGATATCGTATCAGACTACGCGAATTTCAGCCTCAACATAATTAAAAGATAAAAAATTGACACTCCAAAAAGAAAAATGTATCAACTATTCTAAGTTACATAAAACAAAAGTATAAAATCACTAAAATTTAAGTCACTCAGAATAAGAGCGAGAGATGCACGACCGTAAACGACTTGAAACATAACATCTTGAATACATTTATTAAGAATCTATCAAATTAATTTGTCCTTTATTGTGAAAACATGTTAAATATACACATTTTTAAAAAAGGACTTGTACAAAGTGTTGTACGTACTCCATGGAGGAGGAAAAATCCAATGAGAATCCATCCGAAGACAACAGAAGACTGAATTTGCTTTTAATTCTGTGATGGCCAAGGAGGGGTAGTAGTCTCACCAATTTTTTAAAGGCAACTACCTGAACAATATATGTGGCCATAGATATATTATATATATATATATATATATATATATGTCATGTCAATTTAGAGAGAGAAAGGAGGAGATCTAGACAGTGAGAGAGAGAGAGTGTTCAGAGGTACGGTGCTCCCTGCGGCGCAACACAGCCAGCTGAGCATCGGCATCCAATGATCATTAAACTCCAGAGTCATATGCATAATTACATACCATATATAATACTGTGCGGATTGTGCCACTCGATACACTCTCGCCATTGTCAGTCTGTACAATCAATCCAACGCTGCTCTCCCAGCCTGGCCTCCACTACCTCTACCTAAATCACTTAGTCCTAGTTTGGTTGGAGGGTATTGGAAGAAAAAGAAAGGAAAGAAAAGGTGACGGGAGGAATTGAAATGCCATGTTTGGTATGAAATTTTATAGAAATACTGTAAAAAGAAACGGAAGAATTTAAAAAGAAACAAAAAATGAGACAAAAAGCAAAGAAATGCTAGCTTTTTAAATAAAATTTTATTAATGTTAATTTTGTCCTTATTTTTATAAAAGATGAAATTTATAAAAAATAGTATGATAGTAAATTCATTAAAATACTTTTATTTTCTTTCTTTCCCCAAACATGATTTCTATCATTTATTTTTATTTATTTATTAATCAATCAAACATTTCTTTTTTTTTTTTCTTTTCCCTCCTAAGTAATCTTATCATTTCTTTTCTTTTTCTATTATGCCAAACATCGGCTCCGTTTAGATGGAGAGAATTAGAAGGAAAAAAGAGGAAATAAATTAAAGGGATATTCTTTCTTTTAAAAAAAAATTTGGAAAAAAAAAAACTTGAAAAGAGAAAGAAATATTTGAAATTTAATAGAATTTTACCCTTTCAATGGTGGTGAGATGTTGAAGGAAAAAAGAAGATTATTTAATGAGGTTTTCATAGTAGAGTAATGATACGGCAATTGAATTTAATCACCGAATAAGACCCGAAATTGCCACATCAATCGCTGATTCATTAAATGAAAAATTCTACCATTTTAAAAAGACTACTTTACCCTCAAAATATCATCCAAACTCTTCCATGTTTTCTCCCTCTCAAATAAATATCTTTGTGTTCAAAAGGGCTCTCTCTCTTTCTTTATATATATATATTTATAAATATATATATCAACCACAACTATATATATATATATATATATATATATATATATCAACCACAACCTTATCGTCTCATCAATAAGTATGCAATTCCCCTCCATGATCTACAATCTTTAATTAATCCGATTGGATCAAGTGATGAACAAGAAATGTTATATCATCATCACCGATTCAACGTTCAATTTAACAATTCATTAGAAAAATTAATGGTGACCCATCAAACCAGCAAATAAATCATAATTTTTCTTCTCTCTTCTCTCTCCGATTCTGACTCTCTCTCTCTCTCTAATTTCGCATCTCTCACATATATGCCCTAATCTCTAACTTCAATATTGCTTTGTGAAGGAAAATGGCTCTACTCATTTATGTCATGGTGTACTGTTGATTTGGGTCTTCTTTGAATAAAGAAGACAATAGAAATGAATAGATAATTTGAAAAGTTTGATGGGTCAATGAGAAGGAACAAATTTGAAAGTGTTTTAGGGAGAGATGTAAAGCTAAGGGATTGTGACAGTAGAGGGGTGGGGGCAACACAGAGATGGTGGCGGTGGAGAGGTGGATACGATAGTGAACAGAAAGATAATGGCGGTGGTTGTGGAGAGGCGAGTAGGATAGTGACAGAGATGGAGGAATTTTGAGAGAAAAATAAGGAATGATTTGGATGATTATTTGAGAGAAAAAACGTGAAGGAGTTTGGATAATATTTTGAGGGTAAAGTAGTCTTTTTAAAATAGTAGAATTTTCCATTTAATGAATGACTAAGTGATGTTGCAAATTCGGATCTTATTTGGTGATTAAATTCGGTTGCCGTATCATTACTCTTCATAGTACTGAAATTATTTTAAATTCGCGAAGGAAAAAAAAAAAAAAATCAAATTACATATAAATCTTCGTGCATTCACTAATAATAAAAATCAAAATACCCTTAATCTTTTTTATTAAATGTGAAGACAGAAGTATAAGTTTACTTACAAATCTACAATATATATATATATATATATATATATATATATATATATATATAAATATAAATATAATCCAAAAAATCAATCTTATAGGTTATCACTCTAAAACAACATATTTTTTTTAAATATTAACAAACAAATTTGAAAGGTCATATATGTGGATAAATAGAGATCGTTGTCCAAGTCTTCTCCAAACACAAAAAATGGTTGTAAAGGAAA